CATTTTTCTCTTTCTTCTATTTCTCACTTTCTTCACAGCACAACAAAATAGTTTATAATTAGTACTGACCTTTTATGTTTTATTCTTTACTAAGTAGATACCACCCTATTTGTCTATGAAGTGTTGATAGATTTGAGCCTTTTGAAAAAAATGAAAGATCAACATTTAATTGCTATTATTTTTGTTTAAGAAAACTCAATGAAAATTTTAGTAGATAATTATATATAAATGATGCTAAAATGATATTGAAAATGTTATTACTTGTAATGTTATTGCTAAAAGTTCACAAGTTGTTTGATTAAATGGTTTTACTTAAGAAAAAAAAATTTTTTTAAATGAATTACTTCTTTCTCCTTTTATGCTCCATGTCCTTTCAGGACATAGGTGATTTTGGCTCTCCGCTTTCCCCATCCCTTGTAGCTCTCAATATGTTTTAACCTTTTGCTACTTCTCCCAAACCCTGTTCCGTCATCCACTTGCTTAAGCCTGCTAGGTATGTCACATGTTGCTTTCCTTTGTCTCTCTTTTCCTCTATCCGCCCTGTGAGTATCAGATTCTCCAAGCCCTCCTTTCTCATTACATGTCCCAGAAATTCCAGCTGCCTCTTCCTGATGTTAAGTATAAGCTTCCTCCTTATTTGCATCCTCTCCAAAACCTCATTGTTGCTCACATGTTTGGTCCATGGTATCCTTAGCATCCTTCTGTAGAACTATAATTTTGTTGCTTCAAGTCTCTTCTTCATCTTTGAGAAGACCATCCAACATTTGCTGCCATAATGGAGTTCTCTTTTTTTGTTACCAACAAAATCCTCCTGTCTCATAATACTCTGCCTAGCTTTTGGAATGTTTTATTGGCCATCCGAATATGTCTTTGGATCTCAGCGTCACCTTTACTGTCAGAATACTTCCCAGATATTTAAATTTCTGCACATGCTTGATTTTAGTATCCCTGATCTGTAAATCACATTTCGGGCTCATCTTTATACTGATGACCATGCATTCTGTCTTATTGTAGTTTATGCTTAGTCCCTTCTTCTCACTCTCCTTTGCTACCTTCTGTAGGAGGTTTTGTAATGTTCTTTTTATCAGCACTGTGTCATCTGCATATCTTATGTTGTTAAGATTGTGGCCACCAATGATGAATCCTGGTAGAATTTCCAGTTCTTTCAGAATTGCCTTGCTGTATAGGTTGAATAAATCCAGTGAGAAGACTCATCCTTGCCTTACACACCTTTCTATTTTTGTATATCTGCTGAACTCATTAATTATCTGCATGCAGACCATTTGCTGCCAGTATAGGTTCTTGATTATTCTAATATCTTTCCAAATATATCAAGGTTACTGAACAGTTCCAACAGATCTTTATGGCGTACTTTGTTGAGCACCTTTGCATAATCTATAAAACATAGGTGCACATCCTTCTGCACTTGTATTGCTCTTCCTGATAACATTCTGAGCATGAATATCACGTTCCTTGTTCTGGTTTCTTTAATGAACACACACTGTTCTTGTCCTATCTCTGGCCTGATTCTGCTGTGTGTTCTATTCATCAGAATATGGATGATGAGTTTTGTTATGTGGCTCATTAGGCTGATTGTTTGGCAGAGTTCACATTCATTTGTGTCTGGTTTCTTAAGCAATGCTATAAAAATAGATCTGCTGAGATCTTCTGGTTTATTACCACTGTTGTAGGTACAATTTCTTAAATGAATTTTGCATAGAACCATTGTTATATTTAAAATGGTATATATTAAAGGCCCATAGATAATATTAAACATTTTATGGTATATTTTCAATATACGCAATTTAGTTTAATGGTAATTTATTTACCTTAATATATAATGAGAAAAAAATTTGAATGTAAATTGTCAGTGATTAAACAGACAAAATTATGCCATTTGAAAATGGCATAATTATGTCTGTTTAATCACTTAGTGATATTAATATTTTCTAAAACCTTTTATCACTTCCAAGGGAATATAACTGGTACATTTGCTTACTGTAAAATACCATGAAATTATATACAGTGAAGTTTATTAATAACACATTTTATTAGGCTCCTTATACCTCTCCAGAAAGTACCTAACTCCACCTGTCATGCTCCCTCTTTACAAGAGGCAGATCAGACCAAAAATAGTGTATTACTGCCATATCTGAGCTGGAGCTGTTTTTTCCAACCTTGACATGCTCCCAAACTCTCATGGGAGTTTGTTTTCCACCCTACAACCCCTTTTCCACAGATGAAAAGTCACATCAATATTTCCATGGAAAATGTTCTTTCCCCAGTTCCACCAGTTCAGACCTTTACAGCTTAGGTCTACTGTCCATGTACATAGGGATGAACCATCTTCATTCCGTTTGTATTCCCTTGATAAGAGGCCATCTCTATTTTGATAGTTTCTTCCCAAAAGCCACTATTGTATGGAACAGACTCCTAAGAGTATGCTTCCTCAATCACTATAACCATAACCTCTTCAAGTTTAAGGTCAACCATTACTTATCCTACATAACCACATAATTTGTTTATTTCCTCCTCTTATGTCTATACAACAACCACATTTACTAACCCTCTGCTTTAAGTGGCTCTTGAGCCTTGGTTTAGTAAAGTTTTAGTAAATAAAAATATAAACAAACAAACAAACCAAGTCTAATATCTTTAAAAATACACAAATTTCCCTTTTATTTACTAACTGACCATTTTCCCTGATATGTATGTTCATGTTTATGGCAAATATAAAATAGTTTATGAATGAGTCAATATTTCTTCAATTTATATGCTTTTTGATAACTTTCCATGATGAAGTTATTTGATTTTTATGAATATTTTTATTATATTTTACATTTTCCTTTATTTATGAATTCATGTTAATTTTATATTTAAACATTATTGTTTGGTCATTTCTTCAAACAGTAAATATATGTGAAATGCCATGATATAATTATCTTTAATTCTTTGGAACTTTTTCCATTTTGTTTTTTTACTTTTTTTAATGACTGTTTATGATGTGATTATAAATCTTAATTGAGAGAGATTTTATCACTACAGTAATTAACTTGGTTAACATTTTTTGGTATCCCTAACGTATAATTTGTTATGCTTATATAATCTCATGATACATTGATGATCCAAAACATATAAATACTGGTCCACCATGTGTTCAAAAACAGCTTTTACTTGATTAAAAATGGATTCTATATTGCATCTAAAGATTCCATCTGAAATTTGTTGAACTGGTGCCAGTGAAATTGAAGCATATTTCCTTGGGACTTTCAAAGTGATCTGGTATAATTATTGGATTTTATAAGGTTTTGTTCTCTCTGGTATTATTAATCAAATTTACAGATATCTTAGCTGTTTTTGTAAATTTTTGAACCATCAGTATATCAATATTCATTGGATTACATCACATCAGACTGTTTTTGTTAAGACTGTGAGAGACTGCATAGTGTGCAGTGGTTTAAGTTTGCCATGTGCTGGGAAGAGTTGAAAACAAACTTCTTTTGAGTTTGAGTTGTATCTCATATTTTCTTGTGTGGTCTAGAAAACATTTCTTTGTGACTTTTGGTGGGATTTTGAAGAAAATAAGCTGTGTTCTCTGCATTTGTGAAAGTAGTAACTTTTTTAGTCATTGTTGCTTCAAGCTTTGTCAGAAGAAATTTGGTATATTTTTTGTTTGATGAAAAGTCCTAAGTGGTCAGTCAAGTTGTTTTTTCCTCTATTGAAATGTGTATGATGAAAATTTCTACATGTCAGTTGTGTTTTCATTGTTAAAAAATAATACAGAAACTCATTTCATGTAGAAAACTTTTATTTTAACCTGTTTTTAATATTTTTGTCAACAGGTAAAATTTTGAATTACTAAAATGTTTCTTCAAGTTCCAGTCTCCTGGATTCATGAATTTTCTTCAGCTTGCATTTAAGTTTGCCAGTGAGAGGAGAGTAGTAATCATAGTTGAATTTTGATATGTCTACTGGCAGTAGAATTAAAAGAAATGGTCCATTGTCATTGTTGATAAAAGTTGTTGTAGATGTAGAAGAAGGTAAAAGGAATGTCACTCACCTGTTAACTGAGCCAAAAGGGTTAAGTAGCAGCAATCTGTAATTTCTTTCTGCATATTGAATTAGCTGAAAGTTTGTTGATTTGGAGTTCCATTTCACCAGACATGTCAGCTTCATGTGAGTGCTAAGAAAGCAAAACACAAAGTAAAAAAGTGTAGGGGCTCTGAGCATCACACCCAGTCAACAAAATCCCACAAAAACCCCAAATGCAATAGCCAATCACAAATATTCCTGCAAAAAAACAGGATGTCCTTAGAAGCCTGTACCTGTTGAACCAAAGATATAAACATGGCACTACTCATCAACGTCAGGCAATTTGGCTTCAACACTTCAGCCTTGTCAGACGACCACCACCATCAAACACATCACTAGTGTTGATTTCAACCCTGAAGAAAGATGCATGTCAAACCCCACCAACGACATCCACTTGTCTTCATTAATCTGCACCAGGCCTCCCTTCTGACACCAATTGTGACTTCAGCCAACCAACCCAAGAAATTGGTCAACTTCCCGTCCTACTGACAACAACCTTACACCTAATCACTTTCCTTATCAATGGCAACTAAGGAAACACATATAAACAAGTTTTGCCACCTTTCACACAACTATACACATATTTTGAATTTTGACCAATATACATTGTTGAACTCTTCTTAATCTTTGTTTGTTCCTTACCTTTAAAACCAAGTGCTTGTTGTAACACAGCTCAAATAAAAGCAATGGCAACCAAAATAGACTGTCTTATGATAAAAAATAAGTATGTAATTAAATAATGTGTATTTTATGTGCAATTTTTTAGATTTATCAATTTAAATATTTATAATAAAAATGTATTTTTAATTGTAAATTTTGAAAATTATGCATATATTAAAACTGTTAATAACTTTTCTTTTATCCAAGCTCCTTGCATTAAACTGGACTATAACAGTAGCCAAATCTCAATGTCTGCAAGTTCAACTTTAGCTGATAAGAAACCAAGAGATGCACTTTTACATTCTAAGAGTTCATGGTCTCCAAGTCAGCAAAATGCATCTATGTTATCTGCATTTGTGGCCAGTGATGGTATTGATTCAATTATCCAGAAAGTTTCTTTTAATATTACAAATGTTCAGAAAGTACTAATTCAACTTTTGACATTAGAAGGATGTAATGAATATAGCAAGGTAAGTGTTATGCTAGTTTTATTCATTAACTTTTTTTATTCTCTAAATAATTCAAGTATGAGCCACTTTCTGGGTAGATACTTGTAAACTCAAGTATAAACCTGAACAATGTCTATCTTCCTGATGTGTAGAAATAGATTCAACCATATGACATATGTAGAATTTAATAGACATTATATAATGTAGAAACTATGGTATATGAACAAGGTTTTACACCATTTGACTATGGAATGATTGTTGGGGTAAAAAAGATGAGACACTCTATCTTCAAGGTGGCAACTGCTCTACTTTTTTCTCAGGCAATAATATACTGGAAAAACAGTAGACATCCACAAGTGATGCAAAAATGGGATTGCTGAAAACTGGCAAGGATGGCAAACAGCTATGGGCAAAATTGCATGAAATCCCATTCCAACTCCACACTGGTACTGTTCTGGCTATCCGTTAACACACTGAATAGCATACAAACATTCCATAGGGTTTTGTAGTCATCAATCAACAAGAATATAATTATTGACAATATAGCATTGGTACTGTTCCTCACCTGGATCATAAAACATTACCATTGAACCTAGTTAGAAGAATCACATTTCTGGTTCTTTTAGACAAACCAACAAGCTTGTGTGTAGAGGCTTTTTGTAGACTGTTGTGCAAGCTGGTGGGGTAATAGTGTAGGGTATGTTCTGTTCAAATTCACATGGGCACCTAGTAAAATTGGAGTCTGGCAGGTGTAACATACACAGATCTTGCTGCAGACTATTTTCACCTGCTTATGCTCTGTGGTGATGGTTTGTTCAAGCAAAATAATGTCTCCCTTCCCCCTCATCATGTGCCAGTGACATGAAAATAGTTCTTGTAACATCTGGTTAACTTCCAGGAATTCTATTGGCCCTTCATATTCACCAATCCCAGTAAGTTTATAGAGGATGTTGTAAACCTTATTAAATTCCCAATAAATATTTATGGACAGCCCTGGAATGTATCTGGAGGTATATATCTATGCAAACTCTAGCAACTCATAGAATTCATGCTATGTTATGTAGCCATTTTTCATGAAGTGAAAAACCTAAATGACTTAAGCAAGATCATATTAAAATTATAGTGAGATTTAGGAGCAACAAAGCATTAAAATGAATAAATATTAAACATGATGATAGATGATTAATAATTTTCCTCACCTAAGAATTATGCCCAACTTCTTAGAATGAACATTTCTTTTTTGTTGTTTATTTTAGTTAAAATAATCTAATTTAGGATGAAGTCTTTATTTACATTTATACATGTACAAGCAGATTGCTTATAAGTGATTTTTGTATAATCTTCAAGAAGATAATTTATTTATCACAGGTGATAAATCCAAGTCAAGGACTAAAAACGTCTGTTATATTACAATTTTCAAAAGACATTAAAGCAAGTATAGTGGTTCTGAAGATACTACCTACTCGCAACATTCCAATTGTTGAAGATTTTGATGTAACTATTTGCCCTGCCAAAACAAGTGAGTCAATAACAATATGATAGAAAAATTCAACTTTCAACTGTATATTTTGCTTCTTTGGTTGTAATGAAAGCAGAAATAAATGCTAGTAATTTTACTTAATTTTACTTTGTTTCAAACTTATATGCAATTTGATTTCATCCCAAATAAATTTATTAAATATCTGTAACGTTTAATTTCGTTTTTAACAAAAACAATATTGAGGTAAATTATTTATAGAACTTAAATAATTTAACTTATTTTTTAAAATTTTGAAAGTAAACATGAATTAATGTTTAATAAAGAATGTAAAATCTTCCATTGATAGTATGAAAGAAAATAAACACATATTGTGCATCATATATAACTTGAGTAATTTTTATACTTTTTTAAATGACTTCATAAAAGAAGCAAATAATTGTGTAAGATGATATAAATATTTTATAATAAAATTGAAATGTAATTGTTGCTATGTTATATCAAATATTCATGAGAATATATACTTATTGTTTCAGCCACAACCCCTGTTACTGGTGAGTCCTCTGTGATTTGTCTTGTAATTTATGCATAATTATGATAAAATTATATCCTCTTTTAGATTTATTGATCATGTTATGAAATTGGTTATAAAAATAAAGTATTATTTGTATATGTTATATAATTTTGGTATCTAAAAATATATACGAGAACAATTTTACTTTAAAAAGATATGTTTTTTATGAATTTGATTTTATTTATTTGAAATCAGATTTTGATTGAAAACTATCTTGGATTTTCTATTGACTGAACATTAAATATTTTTTAGAAAATGCATAAATTTCCGCAGTTAATAATGACAGGTGTATGTCCTTTGAATTTTATTATTAAAAAAGATTTTTCTTTTTATTCTTCCTCATTCACTTGAGTAGCCTCTTTCCAAATTTTACTTTGTGTTAAATAAATGCCTTGAGTAGAAAAATAAAAACTAAATAAGCTCTGTTGTATTAGAGGATAATGATTTGAATTTATTTTTATATTTTTATTTTTCTCAGCTGTAACAACAACAAAACAACCAGGCCAGTATTACCATTTTTATAACCACATTATATATTACAAATCAAAATATCTACATTCTAATTATTACAAGATGACTTTATACTTCATTTAACTTAAAATTTTAAGTGCTTACTATTTGGTATTTTAATATAAGTGCATTCTATATCTTGTATTATATACAAATTATATATATTTTCCCAGTGAGAGAATGTTTTGAAGATTGAAATTATGTAAAATTAAACTAAGTTAACCAGCATTAAAATTATTAATATTTTCTATAATCCTATGTTTATTTAGGATGAAAGTCAAGAAGATTATGAGAAAAATAAAATGTTATACTTTAATAAAAATCATCAAGTTTATATATTGCCAATTTATTTATAATAATTTATGAACACATGAAGGTGTTGTTTGGTTGGAATTTACTCTTTATGAAAGTGATGGTAGTAAGATCTCCTTCACTATTTTATCAGAGATCAAACTGAATTCAGCCATATTAATTGAGGCTGGTTTGAAGTCACCATATTGTTGGAGTATGGTCAGGTTATCAGATGATTGTATTATAGTTGGCTTATAACATACTGCTGTGAATGTCTGCTTATAGACACTGAGTTGTTGACTTTTGATAATTTAATACCAGATTAAGTATAGGAATTGGTTGCAGATAAAGGGTGAAGGAATCTGAAATAATTTAATGCTATAGAACTGGTAAAAAATAAGTATACAAACTATGTAGTAACAATAAGAAAAATATGATTACTTTCTGTACAGTATATGGAAATGAAGAAGAGTACAGTAGTGAAGAAATCCAGAATACTTTAGAATATTAAAATTGCCATATGTTCATGTTGTGTGGTTTATTGTGTTGTGCTGAAGATTCATGATGTATTGAATATTTTGAATTGTTTCACTTTTTTGTACAATTAGTGAAGAATGTGCATGGAGGGAGGAAAGCTCTTAGCCTCAGGGATCATTTTTATTGCTGGTTTAACTTTGTGTGAGTTAGAAGAGGCTCAAGAAAGAGTTCTAGATGAGCTCTTCAGCAGTGCTTCTAATTGGATGGAAAATATGATGTTTCTATCCCATTTTTTCACTACTGGAAACTACTGTTTCAATCCCAAGTAAAAACTCTTCCAGTCTTTGAAGAGTGGCAACTGTTATTATAAAGACTAAAGATGATTAGTTCAGTACAGGAATGTGCACTTTATGCTTCAATTAATAGAAAAATAAATAATTTTATGTGTATATTTGGCAGAACTTGTCTCAATTTATTTTTTTATCAATATCTTTAGTTCAATGTGATTGGGCATATTCAGATAATATAAATTTACTTTGTTCTTAATTTTTCTTCTTTAATATTCTAATTTTAGATTATTGTGAATTTGATCTTTGCACTTTTGTGAAAGAATTTGGATATGAAGGACCTTCAGCATTTGGTTGGATTGAAAGAGATGGAATTCCAGGACCATCTAATGGAGATATACGAGTTTATTTAGGAAATAAGATTCCTAATGATATGATTGTTTCTGTTGGCTGCAATAACTGGTCAGTATTCAGGTTTTGTCCATGGAAGATCATTTGATAAAACCTTTTTTAACTTATATGATTAATACATATATACAGGTAATATGTACTATACAAGAGATTGCTGTTTCTTTCTGTGGTAGACTGGTTGCCAACCAAGGATATAGGGCCTAGTCTGTCCTGCTATTCAACCCATAGCTGGTGGGAGGAGGAGAGATGGATTCAGACCTTTCCCAAGGGTATTTGCATATAAGTGAATGAAACAAATCCAACTGGAATTTGAAGTTGGCTCTTTGATTTCTCATTCCAAATTGATATCCATTACATCACAATGCACATTAGAAATTGTGAAATAATTGAAACTAAAAACATGGCAAAATATGGAAAAAAAACTAACTTTAAGAATCTTATAAAAAAGATATCTGCAAATCACTAAAATAGTAATAAGAAAAGTGGATTGACCAGCAAAATATATTTGAAGTAGACAAAAAGAAGAATGCAGAATATTAAGAACATTGGCTAAAGACATGAAAACAACCAAAGAAATACCTTTAAGTAAACATCTCAAAAAGAAGTGTGTGTAAGTTGAGTAAAGAAGTACATCTCAGCAGGAATCTCTAGTGATGAATACTGAACTACATTAGATGAACCTGCAAGGTAGCCTAGAGGTTGGACCTTTATGGGAATAGTCTACAAATATCTTAAAAGAAAGCAAAAGAGAAGTGGAGTAATATTTTATGCTATTATTTTAGGCAGTAAAATTATAGGTTCTTTCAAAGTTGATGATTGTTCATGATAAATGCTGTGAATTGTAACATCTTGGAAAATATATTTTTTGAATAGTAAAGGTCACAACCCCTGAAACATTAAGTTAAAGAGTTATTCATGCAAGACAATGTTTCTTATATTTGTACTTTGCCAAAAATGATTTCAAAGATACAAAATTAATAGAATGGAACCCAACTTCTCCAGATATTAATTCTGTAAAAACCATGTGGTTCATCCTTAAAAAGAGATGCATATGAGAATGGAAACAATATTCAAGCAAAACATTCTGGGAAGCAGTAAAAACTACTGCAAGTATTAAAACCAAATGAGTAGAAAAGTTAACAAAATAGATATTTGAAAAACGATGAAGGTTATAGAAGGAGCCTATATTAATGCTTAAAATAATGAAATAATAATTTGTTTCGGTATATGAGATATTGTGTTAATCAAATGTATATTTCTGTGTTTAGCTTTTAAATTTATTAATAAATGAAAATTTGTTGCACGTTTTTTTACATAATAAAACCCAATACCCCTAAACAATTTATTATCAATAGTTTGAATAATGATAGATATTATAAACTGGAACTCACATTATATATTGCTCATATAAGTATAAATATATCCTTAAAATTTTACAGAAATTATGTTGATAAAAATTTTATTGTGAAAATATTAACTTGCATAATAAAGTTTTACATTTTTGCATGTGTGTACATGCACTAAGATTACTCAATAGATTCAGAATAAACCTCATTTTTTTTATTATACTGAAATTGGCCAGCCACTAGAGCCCAAGTGTTTCTTTAATTTTACTAATATTAATTGCACAGCTATGTCTAAAAGAAGATAAGATATGAAGAAAATATCTACAATACCAGGAAGTAGCACCAAAAAGTAAATAAATAAAATAGAATGTTATGTTGGCTTGAAGAAAAATATTGTTGTGTTGAATTGAGAGAAATAGTATATGTGTTCTGTGTAGGTATTTCTAGTTTAATAATGATTGTTAATATTTATTTTAATAACATGTTCGTGTTAGATAGCAATTTGAACATTGAATAGTTGATGCACCTTTATATTTCAATTTGAAAGTTGTTGGTTAGAATGTAAGGCTATATCTGATTGTTGGTTTGTAGCAATGATGAACAATAATTAACTCCAGGTACATTTTAGAACTATTCTCATAAACCAATGGTTTTTAACATATACTGTATGATCGTCTGGTACGTGGCATTCTTTCTGATATAGCATGCACAAAATTTATAATACTTGGTTAAATGTTTCATTCTGCTTTGCTGACAAATACTAATTTCTGTTTATTTGTGTGTGTATTTTTGGATCACTACCTTGCACCCGATGATAAGATATTCTAAAATGTCAGATATCTATACAATTACCTGATATTAGATTTTTAGAAACCATGTCTTTCATTTTATTTTAATGCTTTAAAATTCTGTAGACAGTTTTTCATGTCATAAAAATTGTTAGGAACCCCACTGGTTTAATTTATTTTAAGTTGTTTTCTTGATGTGACTATTTTTATTGTTCTCTTTACTTCTTTGGTAACTATTTCATATAGCTCAAAAGGCCAGTTGCTGAAAAGACTTTTTTTCCAATGGCTGATATTTTGTGGTTATACTGAATTGTTCTTGCATAATTTTTAATGAATTACTCTCTTTCTCTTCCACAATCTACACTATTTATTCATTTATCTTTTCTTGGTAGTTTGAATTATACTAGTTTACTAAAAGTTTTCAGTTTGAGGTGCACCATTTTGAATGTTGTACATGGCTGGTGATTGAAATGCTATAACCAACTATTATAAATGAAATGCTATAACCAACTATTATAAATTAATTCTTTCATGGACTTTTTACAAACTTCCACAAACAAATGTATACAAATACCATATATACTGCAGATAATAAAATATGAAGTCATTTAGAAATTGAGTGAATTTACCACTTACAGTTTAAATAGATAAATATTTGAAGCACTGAAATAAATAATTGCTACATAAAAAATAATACTACCACTTGCAAAGCTGTAAATTACTAAATAATCAATTGAAAAATCCTAAAAAAATTTGATTATGTATGAGAAAATTGCTTTTAATACATTAAAAATTGCTCTTTAAAAGAAGAGATTATAAACCATTTGTCAGGTCATAAAATTTAAAAATTTAATTTGGTATACATGAAAGTGGGGTATATGTTTGTCCACTAATGTATATCAATGATTTAATGCAAACTATTCCACATCTTGGAAAACATTGTAACGAACTTACTGATTGTTCTTAAATACTTAGTAAAATGCTATATCTCTGTTTAAATATGTATACTTATGTAATTGCTAAATTGTATTATTTCTTATTTAATTTTGTAAAACTAAATTGTGAACAGTATCAATTTTATAGCGATTGCAATAAGAGACTATTAAAAAACAGGTTCATGAATTCATTTGTTATGGTAAGACTTTGCATACAATATATTGTCAAAAAGAAGCAAATACAATGTACAATATTATGAAAATGCTTCACATTTGAATTATGTATGAAATTATATGATTTCTAAACTGAAAAAACTATTTTGCAAATAATCTTATTCTTATTCAGTACATGCACAGCTGGTAAATTCAACTGCACCAAAAATATATGTGATGGTAAGAACTGGTTTTCTTCTTTTTTCCTTAAAATTTTTGTTATCGTCCTTTCATTTGTTTTATAAAAAAATATCATTCTTTTATCATTATCATGAACATTAGATTTTTCCAATGCAAAATTTGTATGTCTTCTAAAATTTAATAGTTACTTATGGATTTAATCAATTGGTTGTACAAGATACTACAACTTTATATTGTTGCAGAAATTGAATCACAATTACAACACATTTCAGTTTCTTTATTCAGTAACATTTATTGAGTAATAATATCAATATTTTGAAACTAATTATATTTGCATAAATTTTCTTTAAACTTTGCTTTATTTTGCTCCTAATTTCAAATGTTTACTTTAATTCTATCATGTGCCATTTTAATATATCTATTTTATTTGCATATATCCTAGGCTGTGAATATTCTAAGTGGTCAGAATGGACATCATGTAGCAAAGAATGTGGAAATGGCTATAGGCAGAGAAACAGAAATAAATTGTTTAAAAAAGGAAATGAAAATTGTAACCTGCCAGAGAGTGAAATAGAAGATTGTAACACAGATATTTGTGAAAGTAAGTTCTTATAAAGTAAAATAATTTACATAAAAAGTAATACTTTATGCATAACAAAGTGAGAGATCCATTTTTGAAATTGATTCTTTTGAATTTTCTATATCAGTAAAATTGTCTCTCTTTTGTTTTTTTCCATGATTTCTCACTCTAGTTATAAGTTTTTTTTTTGTTGTTTCTGTTATTACAAATCACAGAAGTGCACTGAAAATTATTACAGAGGGGTGCTGAAAAGTTCTTGGACTGACCCTCTTCCCAAAATCTAAGTAAGTGACCAACCATTCAGAATTTTTGAGCCCCTTCTAGTTTAGGGCAAGAACTTTTCAACACCCTCATATATTATACAATGGGTCAAAGCCAATCTAGAAAACAGGAAAATCATTGAATTATCAGCGAAATGAAAAAGTCACTTTTTTAAAAAAAAAAATCAAGAATTTTGGTTTAATGTCATGTAAATAATAGAATTTTCTAATGCAAGTTGACATACATCGATTGACATCTCAATTTTAAGCTTTTTTAGATAGAAAATTGCTTGAAAATAAATGCTAAATATCATTTATGTGATGTATATTTGTTTTCTGAGATTAGTATAATTTGAATAAAAATGTCTGTTTCTTTCAATCCTGAATAGATGAGCTAAAATCTTACTCTTGAATTTGCTTGATGAAAGTGAAAGACTATCCCCATAAAACTATGTACTGCTTTTACCAAAAGACAATTCCATTGAGTAATATGGAAATATGAACACTTGTTAATCACATGGAAAGTGAATAATTAGAGGAAAAATAGGACTTCTATTAGTATACCACAGATAACATTGTTTTCTAAAGTATGCTCATCAAAATGTTGTTCCATATCCGACCCAGTTATGATAGTGAGTGAATTTATTTTGTGGTTTAAGTTTCAACTATTACCAGCAGAGTGTCTGTCACAATGTCATCTTATGAAGTATTATGACTTTAAAAGTAGTTGCAAGTCATTTTTCATACAACTCTTTGTGAGATCTTGAGGAAGTTAATGTTTCAGGGGAGTAACATTACCAAAAATTATCTATTCCTTCTACAAAGTTGGCTTATTTGATTATACATGGTTTGGTATCTTATTTTCATGAAGAATTTTTTAAATTAGTTGACTTAAAATTTTTCATTTGTTTTGACAAGGCTTTTAATGAACTATCCAGAAAGTGAATATTGTTTTTAGATTTTGGGACAGTTCATTTAATCAGGTCTCTTTATGCTATTTGTCATTGTCATTTATGAACCATTCAGCAGTTGAGGACATCATGGAAAAAGTTTTAGAAACTATAAGTAAGATAAAAATGCCTAACCTTTTGTAGGTTTTGATAGATGGCCTGAATTTTAATGGTTTTTTTCTGGAACAGAATGCCAACATGATGAATTCAACATTAAAAAGCCTTTTCTTGGTTCCTGTGGACTTCACATTATCAATTATATACAATATTATTATTATTATGGACTTTCTACATTTTTGTTGTGTGCCTCTTAAAACAGGCCACACAGCAACAAAGTAGAAAGTGCAACTACTGTTAAAATCTTTTTATAAAGTTTTTAAGCATAGCACTGTAAGATATGCAGATTATATTGGTTTAATGGGGTGTGATCTCTTTCCTATTATGTTCTATTCTATAATATGTGTGGAGAATATTGATGTATGTAGGTCAGGGCATACATCTCAAATGTCAGGAAAAGACGGTTAAAGAAGCTTGCCATGATATTTTATCTCCAGCCAAGATTGGATTTTTCAGCTCTATTGCATCTGTTTTTGAACAATTTATTCTGGTTGCAAACAGTTGTACTAATGACTCCAGTTTTTTATGTTGAAATATTCAACATTTTTCAAATTTTGATGATGTGTTTTATTAAGACAAATGTTATGGAGGAAGCAACAACTCCAAAAATACTAATCAAGTTGAAATTTTTTCCAAGAAGATTTTTCATGAGTTAAAAGATATGAATATTAATGTGCAACCAATCATTTACTTGCCAAAGGAATTGTTCCAGCAGAGAAAAAACTAGCATTCAGAAAATAGTGTTCTACTTTCCATCTAGCAGCAGTTTCCAAAATCTTGTAAGATGTCATTATAACCAAGTAAGATGTTTTGGATAATGATATTACTAGTTAAATGTTGACAAATACCAACCAATTTCATTTTTGTTATCAAGAATGTTTAAAACATAAGTGGAAAAATGTATCAGCTGAATAATAGAAGTCAAATGAAATAAAGAGAGCAGCTGAAAAAACTTAGAGGAAAAGTATTTAAAGTTGAAAGAGAATATCAGGAAAGAACCAAGTGACATTGCCAGGAACATTGCAGAACATACAAAGTCAAAAAACTAATAAACTTGACTACATCATATATTTGGAAATAGATGTTATGTTGTATATGATGAGAAAGTTTGTATTCTACAATGTGTTTCTTTATATATTTGTCTTTTTATCTGTGCTTCGGAATAGCCATATACATACTACTGCCTATTTGTCTGTTATGAGATATCCTGAAATCAAAGTATTTCAGTGGGATCTTTCAGGAAATTATCAGGGGATGATAGCTTAGGAACCCTGTATACAAATTAGGTAATAATTATATTAGTACAAATAACAAACTAAGTTATGATGGGATTCCATGGAAATAAAAATTGTAAATTTCTGAACTAAAATTTGTTAAACAAAAAAGCAAAAATAAAATATTTCAAGTTAGAAAATTAAATTATATATAAAAACACTTTGTCATTAATTAAAAGATTTCTAAATTCATAATGATAATCCATACACTATAGGTGAAACTCGTAATATATACTTTATTATTAACTAAGCATACCATAATTTCCAAGTCTCAAATCAGACCAGTTTTCAATTTTTTATTATTGGTTTAGTTGTTTTGTAAAATAGTGTTTCCAACACCCAGTCTAATGAAGCAGTGTCAGCATATAATGTCATGAAATGTCACAGAATATCTGAGTTTGAAGAAGACCATCAGAAATAAGTGCAAGCAAAAAAAGAGGAATGGCTTAATGAGAAATGTGCTGAGGTAGCAGATATGCACAAAAGATCAAAGAAATAGCTGTACAGAAAATATGCTCTTCAACAGAATGTATAAAATCTAAAGAGGGAATGTGTATAACAGGAAGTTGCAAAGAAGCAAGAATTAGAGCAGCAAAAGATAGGAAGTTGTGAAGAGCCATAATCACTCACATCCTAAAAGGATTGAATATTAAAGCAATGTAATTTTTTCACAAGATGTAAATGTTTTTAAAATGTAATATCTCTAGTGAAAAATAATTACTTTAAAAGGTGAACATTTGAAAAATCAATCATATTTTAGATTTAAGGTTTGAAATCTTACTTTGTGATAAACTTGTTATGATTTTTATTGCAGTAATACCATCCTGGTCTGTATGGTCACCATTGTCCTCATGTACCCAGGGTATTAAAACTTGTGTTGCTGGTGTCAAGCAAAGGATCCGTAAATGTGACAGCCCACCTTCTAATTCTCTCATGCGTACATGTATTGGAATTTCTGTAGACTTCGAACCTTGCACAAATAACTGCACAAATGGTATGTGTGTCTGTCTGTCTGTATGTCTCTCTTTCTCTCTCTCTCTCTCTCTGTATATATATATATATATATATATATTATTTTATTTTACTTATTTTGATTATAAATAGACACATAAAACACAACTGAAAGCTATTATTCAGTATTTTTTCTATGGAAATATTAACTTTGAGAAGATATTTCAATTTGAATAATTTTTTGTGAGAAATTCCATTGTTCAGACTAAGCTATAGAGCATATTTATTTATAGCATGTGTATATAATTTATGTCTTGATATATGTTTCACATTTCATCTCATCTTTTTATCATACCATTTGAATGAAATCTGCTAATGTTTCATCTTTGTTTATATGTCAACTGTTAGAAATACCAAAATGATGATTGAATTGTGAAACTAATTTATCACTTTTGACTGAATAAAAATTTAATTTGTCTATTTAAGGATTAAGCAGATAACAAAATATGAAATGCATTCATGCTTTTTGGCAAATATTTGTATAAAAATTGTCTAATCAGGAAACTATTATGGTACAAACACAAGTTATAAAGGTGGGCTTATTATTCAGTTATATTTGTTCTGCTATTTATTATTTCAACAGTTACATAAACTATTAAAGTAGTATTATTAATGATCAGTATAACAGTAGATTAGCTAAGTGATGATGACTTGTTTATATCAATTTCTTTGTGTTAGTTCAGTATAATTCAAGGCAAATTAAAAATTTGCAATAATAGGAATTACTACTATCAATTGATTATATGATATTGAATCAAGCATATATTTTGTCATTATGTGTCAAATTCATTGTAAAATTTAGACATTATTTATTATGAAATTATATAATGCATTCTCTTCATCTAGGGATAATTGTTTTTGTATTTGTTCTCATTATTCAGTAAATTTGACAAGTGAGCCTGGTTTTGAGACAACAAATTGCTTGAATAAATCCCATTTAACCTGCAAGGATTATAGATTCAATGAAAGGATGGTTTATGGCTTTGAATGTATACCAGCTTATGTATGTCCTGGCAAAAAAGTGTTATATAACAGTCATTGTATTGAACCCAAAAATTGTCCCTGCTATGATAAAAATGGCATAGAATGGTTGATTGGTTCTGCTGTGCCATCAGAAATTCCAGGCAAGAAATGGTGAGTAGAATTTGTTTGCTTTAGTGAAACAAAATAAATGCAAGATTTTTATGTCTTGTATTGTCACAAATTCTATCAATTTTTAAAAAATTTTTACTTTGAATTGAAAACTCAGTGTAACAAATGATGCATTATCAAAATTACATACCTAAAACAGTTATAACATTCAATATTTATCTGCTACAATATGATTAATTTCATACATCATTAACTGATTCATTTTAGGAAGTTTTGAAACAACCAGTTTTAAATGTGTGCTGAGATAAGAGCTAATTCAAATTTCTTAATTTTGTACTGAAACTCATTTCAGTCATTTTATTGTTTTTTTATGCAAGAATTCAGTAATAGATATCTCTTATACATTTCAATGTCAAAAATTTTCCACATCATATGAATTTGAATTTCATCAGTTGATCAGTATTAAAGACAAATGTTAATGTCATCAATTAGAATTTCCAATTATATACTGAAAATTAAAATTGAAAGCAGATGTATAAAGAAATATAAAATAAAGCCAAAAATGAATGAGAAAGAAAAGGAAGTTCCTTAAAACTTTAGTCATTAAAGATATTCAACAAAATCTGTTCTTAAGATGAAAAAAGAGTAAAATCTCAACCAGATAAAAGTGTGCAAAATATGAAACAAAAACTATGTTTCAAAAGGATAAGTTCATAAATATAACTAGTGTAATATTATGTTAGTAAAATCTGATAAGAATACAAAACTAAACTTTTAATACATAAAATAATTATTTATTAACTTCTGGGTTTCATCAAACTAACATTGGCTGTGGAGGGTATGTGATTTCAGGGATTTTCTTCAAACATTCAATCTTTTCATGAAGATATGAATGGCTGCCTTTCTCTTCAAAGGTTGGGCATTTATATAACTTTCTGTCTTATATATGTATATGTGTATGTGTGTGTGTGTGTGTCCTAAGCTCAGCTGGGTTCACTTCCTGTTTATGTTGGTACACCCACTGACATGACTTAGGCTTGATTCTGCACCTTCTAGGTCAATCCTCTGAAGCACCAAGTATTCTGAGGTGACACAAAGCATAAAGCTGACTTTGGTAGCTCTTAAAGTGGACCAGTACATATTGGAGATGCTACAGATCAACTCCTCTTAGGTCAAAAATTCCTGATGGAGATTAAGTTTAATTCAGATCTGTGGTATTTCCTAGCATGAATTACAAACTACACTAGTCTTAAACATTTCATAGCCAAATTAGGTTTTCAAATATTTTAAATGGGATTTGTACTTAGAAGTTGTACGAATAAACATTTTAAATGTTTTTTTCTATTGTAGCATATGCAAGCAAAATGGAATATCTTGTCAAGATGACCCAAATGGTATGTAACTTAACTTTTTTAAAAACATTTCTTGGAATTAAGTTTTCTTTATCATATGAGACAATATATTAAATAAGCAAACTAGGTATTTCATGTGTTTTTATTACTAGTTCTGTAAATTACAAAGATTTTACAGTCAAATATTTATTATGAATTTTTCATTATTTATTTTTAGTTTGTGTTGTGTCTCATTGGAATTGTTGGGGAGCCTGCAGTGCTACTTGCAATAAAGGAGTACGCATGCGTTACAGGTATATTTATATTGGAAATAACTAAATTTTCCAAAGTCATTTTCAATTTCAAGATAAGATTTGCATTTCATTTCCATTTTGTACTTTGGATAAGTAATAAATTTATAAATTTGAGACTAAAAAGAAATGTTTGCTTGAATTTTTATAAAAATACATTTTTCCTATCAGTAAAAATTTCTGTTAAATAATCTCTTTTTATCAAATTTTATTGTCCTGTCTGTTAATTATAACTTAAGATAGTTTATTTCTAAAATTATTCTATTCAGTTCTAATAATAATTTTAGGGTTACCATAAAGAATGATTTTTTTCATTTAGTGAAATCAAAATGTTAATTCTTAGAAATGTATTTTTGTCTATATTTTCATTCATAGGAAATATTTTGAAATTGTACTTTTTCCTATTAGTTGATATGTTATACCACTTATCAATTACAACATTTTTCAATTGATTTAATTTATTTGGTGAATAAGGGAATGAAGAATTTTCTTATACTGATAATTTATATCCCAATTTGATATTTTTATAGCTTGGAATTTAATTTTGGAAAACTGAAAAAGAATGTATAACATTTTTTGTCATTCATATTTTTTCTTTCCTTATTTGTATTAATTTCAAAGATTTTCTAATTACAAACATATACATAAAACATATTTTGTTATTGATCTAATAGACTAGATAAATGGAATCTCTACTTCATTTGTTATCATAAAATCACATGCATATGTCTCAGACCTATTTTTGTTTATTGAAAAATGCAGTAAACCTTATATTTAATATTAAAATTACAAAGATTATCTATAAGCTTATATAAAATTACAAGATGGCTTTGCTTTTTGTAACAAACATTCAAATGATAACTTTTTAAATTTCAGAAAAATTGAGTTGGAAGGAGTAAATGAAACCTGTAAAGGAAAACCTCTTAGTCAATCAGAAAGCTGCATAGTGGATTTCTGCCCTCCAGACTGTGAAATTAATGGAACCTTATATCAGCAGAATGAAAAGATACATGAAGATGAATGTACTGTGAGGTAAGGGAAATAATATTGCAGGTTTAGATGATAAAATATCACGAGTCTATAAAACAATATTGTATACTATGCATTCATAAGTAAAAACACTGGTAATGCTCATTTGGTTTCCTGGAAATTTTGTGTTCAGTGTGTGGGTCAGGTAGTGCATAAATAAATGAAGAGACAGGTTGTCATCATTAGGAAGAATTGATGATTACAAATTTTGAAATTATCTATTAAAGACATTTGATGTTATAAGTAAAGGAATAAGGACAACATAATGATTTATGATTCCATTTAACATTTGTAAATGATTACCAAATAGAGCGGACATTTGTAAATGATTACCAAATAGGGCGGACATTTGTAAATGATTACCAAATAGGGCGGACATTTGTAAATGATTACCAAATAGGGCGGACATTTGGTAAAGGTTGGAAGGTACAGCAGTTAATATCAACAAATACAAGCAAATTGGACCAACTAATCAATGTATAACATTCTTTTATCATTAATGAAACAAAGTTTAACAAAATAAGTAAAACCAGATATTTTTATAATTGTTTTGGGTGTTCTTCTCGTTTATGTTCAAGTAATCAAACAAACAATTCAAACATTTGTTGATTCAAAAATATGTATGTTGTCTCTAGTCTGGCAAGATGATATACAAAATTGTAAATGAAGTGGTATTAAAAAATTACTGAACAGTACAGGCTGGAATTATACCATTGAACAGTTTGCACCATTGAAAAGTTCCTGAGCTGTACAGATTGAGATTACACCATTCAACAGTGTACAACTAACAATGAGTCACTCTCCCAATAGGTTTTGTGCCGTGTTTAACTATTACACAAGCTTTTATAATATTAGAACAGTTCTACACTCTTTATGATGGCTGACAGGTTTTAACAATATGCCTGCAGGAATATTACATGAATCTTGGAAAATCTGCTATCAAGAGACTCAAAATGCTTTATCAGATTTTTCAAAAACAGTTTTAGGTGAAACACAAAATTTTCAGTGGCATGCATGTTTTCAGGCTGGTTAATGATGATTAGTGCGTAAAGATGATGAATATTCAAGTCAAAGCCCTAAAGACCCTTACACACACAGAAGTATCTCAATTGGATCCGTCATGGCAAAAGTGTTAATGAATATTGTATTAACTAGGCTCTCATCATTTTATGAAAGTCAACTTCTTACAACCCAGTTTGGTTTTTGTTCTGGTGAAGGATGCAATGATGACAGATATGTTATCAAATAACTCCGAGAATGATTGCTTACTTCTCTAATAGGAAATTGTATACCTGCTTTGTTGGCCTCACAGCAGCATATGACCACATCAATAGAGACTTCCTCTTGTAATCCATTAAAAACTACCTTCCAATTCCGAATTCACTGAATTCACCAATCTAATACGAGAACGGTATTTATTGACAGAATCTTACCTGTCTAGTGAGGACCCCTATGCAGAAACATTTCAGATCTCATCAGAAGAACAAGGAGGAAATGAGCGCCCCAATCTATTTAATCTCTTCCTAGACTGTGTCCTGTGCATTTACAAACACAGATTGGATGAGATGAAATATTAAATATGCATTTATGTTTGAATATTTATAATTAAAATATTAAAATCTAAGAAATATGCCACAAGAAACAGTTTTTATTAATATGTAGAATTGATTTAAAATACCAACATTATATTGCATCATTTTTAAATTAGAAATTTAGTTGGAATTGTGTTAATATAAAATGTATGCATTTAAATTTTGAAAATCTATTAAGAATAATTTTACAAAAAAATGATGAAAAAAAGTGTAAAATTTCAATTCTTAAGCTAGTAATGGTGTTAATGTTTTCTTTTATAGCTATTGCCGTAATTCCAAATTGGTAACTGAAATTAATCCAGTTGCTGTTGGTAAGTTAATTCAAGATTGATAAGATCAAAATAATTCTTTGACAATTCTTTATATTCATACAGATATACTTAAAATCAAACAATAATAACACTGTAAGAATGTTTCACCAATTTATGGCCATATATTTAAATTTATCCATTTATATCCTTCACAGTTACATAGAAGGAAATTTTTTTGCTGAATAATGTTACAAATATTTAACATAAAGTTTCTCATTTACAAAGATACGAAACCTGATAACTTATGAAAGACTAAATATTCATTATCATGTTTGTAATAAATTTGCTCAGTGGTAAAATTTTGAGTTATTGTTCAGTTTTATTAATAAGTACAACTAAATTGAAAAATTCTCTATATATTATTGCTTATGCATTTTTATTGATTTGGCATTCACTAATAATAAAATAAAATATATTTTTAGTTGATGGAGGTTACACTGCATGGTCTGCTTGGACAACATGCACTAAAACATGTTCTGGAATTCGACACAGAACCAGATCTTGTTCCAATCCAGTGCCTCATTGCAATGGAAAACCTTGCAGTGGTGTAAACTATCAAACTGAATCTTGTAATGAGAATGTAAAATGTAAGTTACAGTTTGTTGCTATTTCTTTCAGTTTTAATAATGAATATTTTTTATATAATAATTGCATCTACAAAATATACATTTTCTTACTCTGTGAAAATTGAGTTTAATAAAGTGATATTTAAAAATGGTATCAGTTCATAAAATACATTACAATAATGAAGTACTTTGTATTAAATGAATGTACTTATGTAAATTCTGATGTATAATTTATTCTAAAATAAAATTTTAAGTATGAAATTTTCAGCTTAATTAAATATAAACTAAAAAAGGTAAATGCATTTGACATGGCCTTGAATAAATTATATTTTCCTGATATTTATTTTATAATTAAATATTATTATATATTTAAATATACTTTATTAAAAGTTTTACTTAAATTATATAGAGACATATTAAAAAATTGAAAACTTATTTTATAATATTTTCCTTGTTTTGTTATAAATAAAAAATGATAAAACTGTTAAAGCCTTTTTTATAAATGTAAAATCTAATGGTAAACTATTAACTTAAAAATTAGATATTGTATATATTTATCTGTTTTATTTATTCATTTGTTTATTTTTTTTTTGCAAACAGGCTGTACAGCTCTTCCTTGGGGTTCTTGGGGTGCATGTTCTGTAACTTGTGGTTCTGGTAAAAGAAAACGTGTTAGAACCATATTACCTAATGAAGAGAACTGCACCATCGCAAGTGAAGACACTGAAAATTGTTACCTTCAGTCATGTTCAGGTAAATAGATATTTTTTTCAACTTCACTAAAAACTGAAAAATTAATTAAGAATATTATGCATCACTTTTTTATATATACATTTTGTCTTAGGACATTTTCCTTTTAAGTTTATTTTTATTTGTGTATAAATTATATAAAAGCTTTAATGCTTATCCGAATAATTAACATGTAATAATAATAATATTAACAATATCAGTGATGAAACTCCTAGAAGGTATTACTACTAGTAATAGCAGTAATAAGAAGGATGAGTCAGCTAAAGCAACTTAAGAGTCACATTTAGATAAATTCTTACATAATAATAACGGAATAAATTTCTTACAGTTTGACTCAACAAGAATTGAAGAATATTTTATTAACATCAAATTTGTATTATCTAAGTGCAAAATGATTCAATAAGAAATAGTCTGTGATCATTTCCTTTTATTTTCAAGGCAGCTGTAAGAATATTCATTTTAAAAGAATTACATGTGATAAACGCTTGCTCAGAGACTAGAGATTTTGTTACATACAAAATGTATCTAAATCTAGATCAATGTGAGGAAAAAATAGTTTTCATGTTTTATTTTTTTTCTGCTAAGTGTAATGTATAAACATATATGTAGCTAATCTCTCCTTTTGACATCTCTAAAATACTTAATCTTTTAATTTAAGAAAAATGTGAAGTAGGTCAATGGGGTCAGTGGTCAGTGTGCAATGAAAAATGTGGAATTGGAATTCGTACAAGACGTAGACCATCAAAGAATCCCATGACAAAGTGTAATGTTTTGGAGAAGGAACAGTGTGTAAATCAGTGTGGTGTGTATAAAGTTAAATTACTTTTTTCTGTTTAATTTTCTTGTGATTTTATTATTTCAATTTCTTTCAATATCTGTCAATTTCTATAGATATGACTTCTTGTCTTCATCATAATTTTCTAAGTTATTTTTCTACTTATACAGATTGTTTGGGTTAAATTTGACAGAGTTTAATGTTTGTATTTTTCAAATTGGTTTAGAATATCTGAAAACAGTCAACTGCATTGTAAAACCTAATTACTATAGTTTTAGAGGTGTCAAAGTTAACTGACATGGATGAATGGAAGCCATCTGAATATTGGAAAAAAGTAACCTGTAGAATGGTGATTCGTGCTGAGCATCAAAATTCTGCAATCATTACAGCTGCTCTATGCTCTTTGAACAATGTGAAAACAATAAGACATGAAATGGAGAGTTACAACAGAAACTACAAGACCATGACTTGTAGGAAAGAACACAGCAAATGTTCTGCATTCCTCCATACACCAGAATTCATCCAACAACTGCAGGATAAAGTGATGGAAGACCCAGGTTAGCTTTGACATAGGAAATGAGTTTTGCAATCTCCACCATGAAGCTGTCCTTGAATGAGGACCTCCACCACCAGTCATACAAGAGGTGTAATGGTCAACTTCTTACAGAGAAGGCTTGACAAAATGATCTGACAAATCCAAACACCGAAACAAGGTGAAACATCCTGTTGAACCAGGGACATACTGGTTCTTCTTTGATGAAAAAAACTTTTTGTCAAGACCTGCTGCACAACACCCAAAACAACAGATGACTTGCCTATAATCCATAAGATGTTCCTCATGTTATAAAGATCAAGTTTTTCCCAAACTGTGATGGTTTTGGGTGTGTCTTCAGTGAGGCTTATGTCATTTCACATCACATCCTTGAACAGGGTCTCAGGCTCAACTTGGATGGCTCTGTGGAGTTGTTGAAAGACCATTCAGCCTGTAACACCAAGGCTCAGCTGATTGACAAGATTAAAGAGGTGTTTGAGGCTCTCCCTGTGGACACTGTGATGGTCACATGTGTCAGATTGCATAGTTAGATCAAGGCCATGGTAGATGCTGAGGGTGGCTTCTTTGAGTGAATTGTCTTTTGATTATTATAACCTGTATCCTTCTTTTCTATTTTTTCAATAAATTGATTTTTGGCTTAGATATTCACTTTATTTTCTTTTTTTAAAAATACTGTCAGATTTGGCCTGAACACTCTGTAAATATATTATTTTTCTGTTTCTTTATTCTCATATTTTCCAAACTTTTTTATCAGAGTGAGATGCTTCAGTTCTATTTTCAAGAGTCCTTTCATTTATTTTTATTACTTCTAGTTTGTATTTAGAGAATGATTCCACATGATCTTTGTTGTTTTCTGTAAACTTGCTCTCTTAAAATTCTTTTCTCTGTGTTTACATTTAGCACTTCTTCTAATTTGAATATATTATAAAAATTCTAATTGGTATGTAGTAAAGTGTACTTCAGAAGATTGTGTTAATAAAAGCTTCATGAAACTGATATACTTTTTATTCTCTGATTTATTCATATTTTTTTTATTTTAATGTTTCAGATTGCTACAATGGAAAAGTATGGACTAATTATTCCAAAAATGAACTCACATGTAACCAACGATTTGATATTGATCAGAATAAATATAGAATTTTCTACCCACAATGTGCATGCCCTGAATACAAAAATGCCCTTGGTGAATGTGTATCATTTGAAGAGTGTAATGATTGTATTGTTGATGGAAAGCGATATAAGGTTGGTGATAATTGTATTATTTATTTATTCCTTAAATAAATTATTTTTCATCAATTTTCTAATTTTAATTTTTACTATTATGGAAAATCAATCTGTGTAGATAGGAACAGAGTTATCTGCCCCTGCGAAACTAAGTGGGACAGAGTTAACTGCCCTTGGCATAGTATATAAAGTGGACCGGTGAACGTGGCGGTGCGTTTTACTGCACACAGCGCTGTGAACAGAATTGTTTTGCAAAATGTGGATTGTTACCAAACTACAATAGACACTGGGCTTACCCACTGCCAAGCACCATGGAGCAGGAATATTTGAAATTAATGAATCAACTTGTGGAGCTACAGAAGGAAAATATCGAGCTCAGAAAAGAAATGATTCGTGGACACACCAACATTCCGCACGTTATGAAACCAGAACGACCCTCGATAGGGCTGGATATAACGGAAGGAGAATGGGCGTTGTTTTTGGACACCTAAACCTGATACAAGGATATGTGCAGATTGGAGGACCCAGTCACAGTCCAGAATGAATTACGGGCAAAGTGTACACCGGAAACAAATCGTCTATTATTTGAGCTGATAGGTCCTACAAGACTCAACTCTGCTTCAGAGGAGTTTCTATTACAACAGATATGACTTATCACAGTGAAAGGATTACATAAAGAGGTTCACCGGCAGAAGTTCCACTCTGACGCAGAACGAGGGTGAGTTCATAACACACTTTCTATCTAGATTACGTGGCCAAGCAAAATTTTGCGTGTTTAATGTTCAATGCCCAAATGAGCAAACTTGCAGGCAAAAAGTGGATTATTCGGAAGATATGGTTGCCGGACAGATGATAGCCGGGCTCGCCAATTTATAACACCAAAATAAAATATTGGCAGAGACAGCCTCACTCGTTACTTTGGACCGGAAGTTCAATCGTTTAGTTTCCCTTGAGACAACAGACAAATCTGCACCTCACTTCCACGACACCACACGCCCTCTTGCATCATTCAACATGCAAAGGTCTGACCAGGAACAGCCACTTCAGGAGACTGAAACCCCTTTGACGCTACGACACAAGAAACCATGCAGCGGATGTGGAAGGATTTCACACCTGGGAGGGTCAACGAACCGGAAGGATTGTCCGGCGGTCAAAATGAAATGCCAGTTTTGTGGGATAATGGGGCATATGAAGAAAGTATGCCGGAAGCTCGCGGAATCCAAAGCAGAAGCAATGAGTGGAACGTCAAAAAGTGACGACTCATTTATGTTTACCAGCCGTACTCTGAGAGATCAATTTACCCGCCGAATTGATAAGCACTGCAACATGCGAGTAGTGGACGTGCCCCACTTCAAGTGGAATGGAAAAAAATTTCAAAGGACCTCTCCAGAGTCGCACCCGTTAGTGGAAGTAGTAGAGATAACCATGATGCCTAGGAGTCATGCGACCTTTGGGCGCATACCACGGAAACCAATAAGCCCACGCGTTCACCCCATCCTCGCCTTTGCAAATACCAGGGCACAGACCTGTTCAGCTGGACATGAGATTCAGAAGCTTCTCGGGTATCCAGATGGATATCTAGTTTCAACCACCCACCGGATACGAGGCATTACCAATGACCGACTATGCGTCAAAGGTGTATTATTCTTATGCATAAAGGTGGGGACGAAGGAAACACGGCAGTCTGTGTACGTGTCAGACAACACAGCTGTTTTTATACCTATCACAAACAGTGTTAAAGGACTTAAACCTACTACCATCCAATTTCCCGACATCAGTTGCCATGGAGCAACTCATCACCAATGGCGAAAGAAATAGCCCCATGTGGATGCCCTTGCAGAGCACCCGTCCCAACAAAGCCCAGAAGAATTCCATTCGAACCCATCCAAGCCAACAGAAACAAGATGCAACAGTGGCTACTGGAATACTTTAAGTCCAGCGCATTTAACACATGCCCACATCAACCACTGCAAGCGATGGAGGGAAAACCATTGGACATCGACTTCATCCCGGGTGCAAAGCCGACGACAGTTCATATGCTAATACATGTCCCACACCATTGGGAGAAGAAAGTGAAAGAGGGGCTGGACAGGGATGTCGCCCTTGGCATAATAGAACCAGTGCCAGTAGGCACTCCAACTACCTGGTGTTCACGGATGGTGGTTGCACCGAAAAAGGACGGATCTTCAAGGGGCATGTTAGATTTACAAAAGCTGAATGATGCAACCAGAAGGGAAACACACCACACATCATCCCCATTTGACCAGGTATCCAGGATACCAGCACACACGAGAAAAATGGTCCTCGATGCGTGGAATAGATACCACAGTCTACCGTTGTCTCCAGCCGCACGAAACACTACCACATTCATCACCGAGTGGGGCTGATACAGATATTGCTGGGCCCCTCAAGGATTCCACGGATCAGGGGACGGATACACCTGTTGGTTCGACGACATCACTGTGGACATGACCTGGAAAACCAGGTGCATAGACGACAGCCTCCTATGGGATGATTCAATAGAATCCTCGTTCTGGCATACGGTCAAATACATTAGCCACTGCGCAGACAAGGGAATCGTATTCAACCCTGACAAATTCCATTTTGCTGAAATGGAGGTGGAATTTGCAGGATTTTTGGTCACCGACGACGGGATCAAACCGAATATTACCGGCATCAGGTCCTGGTTTGGACTCGTGAACCAGGTGTCGTATGCATTTTCCCAAGCAAACATTATGGCCCCCTTCCGGGAACTGTTAAAAACAAAAAAAAGAAAATTTTATTGGGATGAATCACTTGAACGCCTATTCCAACAGTCAAAAAGAGTGATAGTGGAGAAAATCGAAAAGGGCATTCGAACATTCGAGAGGAACAGAGCAATGGGGCTGGCAATGGACTATAGCAAAACAGAAATCTTGTACTTCCTATTTCCGAAGCACTGTAAGTGCTCCGGCGAGTTGAACATGGATTGCGGAGATGGCCACTGGAAGTTCATTCTGGCCAGCTCCCAGTTCACCAATGATGCTGAATCACGTTACGCACCAGTGGAATGAGAGGCTTTAGTCCTTGTTTACGGACTAGAGTCATACTGGATGTTTGTACTCAGATACCCAAACTTACTGGTAACAGTGGATCACTTACCACTGGTAAAGATATTCTCGGACCAAGCCCTGGAGAATATAAAAACCCCTGCCTGTTGAACTTCAAGGAGAGATCGATGATGTATACATTCCAGATAAGGCATCGTTCTGGAAAACTGAATTTGGCACCTGACTGCGCCTCCTGATATCCGGCTGGTACCCCACACAAAAGCCCAGCCCAAACTATCAACACCGCAGTCAAGGCCGCCTTCACATGGATGTACGATAGTGACTCCAAGCTAAAGGCTATCACATGGGAGAAGATTGTCGCTGCGGCGGCCATTGATGAGGAATGCCGGACCATAGCAAAAGTAATTCAAGATGGTTTTCCCAAATCATGCAACGACATCCCACCCATAGCTCGGGTTTTTTGGCCCATGCACGAGGAGTTATACTGTTTGGAAGGAGTGACAGTAAAGGCCAACAAAATTTTAATACCTCGACAACTTCGAGCAGAGGTACTGGACTCCATGCCACACATCAAGGCATAAACGGCATGCTGGCAAATGCGAGACAGCGATTGTTCTGGCCGGGTTCAGATGCCAGTATCAGGCAGACCAGATCTCAATGCCACACCTGAAACACAATCGCGCCGCCCCTAATGACACCTGCAGACCCTGAGTTTCCTTTTCATTATTCTGCCCGGCCTTTTGGCTGGGGGTTTTGACAATTAATGGATCGTTTCTTGGTGGAAGACTGAGATTCGATCAAGCTTTGACTAGCTTGGACTGGCTTCGGCCTGGACCTGTTAGGACAAGTTATGACCAGCTTTGACTAGGCTCTGACCAGCTTGGACAAGCTCTGACCAATATTTTGACCAGTGGCCTATGAGTGGAAACACTCGGGTCTCCCACGTTAATCGACCTTGTGTCATATCTTGATTTAAGTGGGAATCAAGTAAATACCTTCACGGATGTACAGGGCAAAAGCTACATGGTGTATGCGGACTGGTATACAGGATGGGTGGAGGTGGCCCGAATGTCATCAGGAAAGGCCAAAAACGTGTGCAATACAATGAGGACCTGGTTTTACACATATGGTGCACCTGAAGAAATATCCTCAGACAGAGGACCCCCATTCGAATCCCAGGAATACAACACCTTTCTAAAAAACTGGGGTATATGAAAACGCACTTCGTCTGCCTATTACCCCCAAAGCAATGGGCGCGCAGAGTTAGCGGTGAAAACAGCAAGACGGATACTGTTTGACAACACAGACAACAGCGGACACCTATGCCAGGATAAAGTTGCCTGGGCGCTGCTGACCCATTGCAACACTCCTGTCCAGGACCTAGATATGTCCCCAGCCATAATGCTCTACGGTCGAATAATTAAGGACCATCTTCCGGTCCTGAGGGACAAATACCAGACACCGAAGAAATAGAGAGAGATAGGTGAACTGAGAGAGTTGGCAATGGCTAGGAGGCATATGCGAAATGAGCAATTCTATAACCAGCATTGCCGCCCACTCCAGGAGCTGCAGGTAGGAGAGACAAGATGGAATATACCCCCATCAATGGACAAAGACGGGAGGGTTGTAGAAAAACACAACAACCGACAATACCAAGTACGGGTAGATGGAAGCAGAAGGACTACGCTACGTAACCGCCGGTTCCTCCGGAAAATTTACCCAGTGGTGGACGGCCTGCCCCACGCCACACCGGAAATCTCAGGCCCATGTATGAACTCAGAACCTCCATGACAACAGAACCCAGAAGAACTGATGGACATCGGACGAGAGGTCAACATTATGACACCTGACGGAATGGGAAACAAAACCGAGGACCACATGGACGTGGATGAAGACCAGATAGCAACTGAGCACCCCACACCGTCGTGATCGGGGGGGGGGGAATGGCTGGCATGTGTAGAAGAGAACCAAGTTATCTGCCCCTGCGAAACAAGCTGGGACAGAGTTACCTGCCCTTGACATAGTATATAAAGCGGACCAGTGAACGTGGCGGTGTGTTTTACTGACATACAGTATCTGACGTGCCAAACACACTTGTCACACTTTACACAGACAAAATGATGTGCATTTAATATGAAATATATTGGTAACTGAAGAATATATAAAAAAAGAAGATCAAATGAATAATTTATTTTGAAAGGACAGAACATAAGCTATCGTTTATTAGAAACCGTGACAGAAATTAGAGTAAAAAATTATTGACTAATTTTGATTTAATTATTTTGCACATGTAAACTTATTCTTAATTTTTCCAGTTAAAATAAATCTGTAGCTAAAAATAACTTTATTTTCAATACATAATTAAATACATTGTTATAAAAAAAATTAATTATCATTGCATAAAAATGCATAACTACAAGTGATTTAGTATAATTCTCATTAATAAATGTTAATATTTTGAAATAATTACTATGCATATCCTATATATACATATTTAAATATAAAAGTGGACATTGAGGTCAACACTCTGTGGTACAGTCTGTTTCATACCTAAACACAATGTTCGTAAAAGTATATTTTTTGTCATATAATTTTATAAGGTATCGCCCAAGAAATTTGATACATAAGGTTTAAAATAAATTTTTAAAAATGAAAAATTTTTGTTGAAGCTTTTCTTTTAGTTTTAATTTCAATTTGATAGATCAAATTAAATATTTCCAATAAACAAAATATATTGAAATTAAATTTTGAAATGTATAGAGAATTTTAAATTGATTGAAATGAGTTTTTAAATTTCTAAAAATGACTGATTTTAGCAACATTTATAATTCTCTCAGCACAGTGTAATTCTCCTTATTAAAAAATTAAAAAAAAATAAAATATACATTTTTGAAACTTTATTAGAGGAATATTAGCTGATTTAAAGTTTAATTGGTTTCATTTGAAACAAATATTACTTATTTTTACTTTAAAATATTGCAGAAATGTACTTTTAATGCAGATGTACATCTATTTTCAGTAATATATTGTTCATCTTAATTTTTATTTGCTTTTTATAAAATCTACCTGTGCTGTCAGTCTATGATAGTGTGCAAACAGTGAAAATCAGAAATAATAGCATATAAGTTCCTGACGAGACTTTAAATCATGTCTTTTTGCCTATTTGTTATTATTTCTTGTCCATGTTTGCTTGCAGCTATAAATTGATGGCTTGAATAAGTAGAAAGCAAAAATTAAGAAGAAAGAAAATATCAGTCAAAAATTAATAATAATTACTGAGCACTTTTTAAGAAAATTATGGCAACTTTTTCAGCATTTCAACTTATTTGCTAGCTACTTATCTTTAACACTGTATCAATTTTTAGCATTTGAAAATTTATTTTTACTTTTAAATTAAGCTAAGTTTGATTATATGATAATCAGAATTTAAGTATATTTTTCATGTGAAAATTACTTTTCTTATAGAATGGAATGATTTGGGATTCTGAAGAGCCTTGTTATAAATATGAATGTGTTTCTGGGTCAAGAATTCGACACAGAATATGTTCAATTCCAACATGTGATGTTGTAAGTAAAGGTTTTTTGAAATGTATAGATGATTTTAGCTTTACTCTGATATCAGATAATATCATTGATCCATAAACATTTTATCTCATTTGTTGCTTTTATTGATGGTATAAATTTATTAAGAGAAATATAATGCACAATATCAGTTAGTAACAATTGTGAAACAATTTTCTTTGATTTTAAACTAAGATAATATTTATGCTCATTTAGACTAATATTCTTGTGAGGTTTATCACTATATTTCAGCTAATAATTAATTAAGTCTGGTGATGATTGTAGATTGAAAGGAAGTCATACTTTAACACTTGGCAAGAGAAAATTTTGCCACATGGCAAAATTTTCTCTTGCCAAAGTGTTACAAAGTTTACAAAGGACAAAGTTTACTTCTTGAATAAAGAATATAGGTAGTTGATACAGCACATGTGTATAGCTTCTCAAAGTTTCATAAAGAAAATGTTGCATTATTACACATATTCAGCTGATATTGTTACTGCATGTTATGTTATTGATCAACATAATCAAACTACTTTTGGGTGCTTGTCTAAAACATGCAAAGAACTCAACCCATTTTGGTAAATTGGCTATAGAATGACCCTTCCTTTTGTAATTGTAAGTTTAGATGTAGTAAAACTTTCACTAATAGATTTCCATAACAGAAACTTCTTCCTATTAGATAAATTGCATACTTGAAGAAGGCTGAAGAAGTGGGTAGGAAGTGAAATTGATGAGAATAAAGAGAATGGCTAATGATTGTCCATTCACTTGAAGCAGTTAAGATTGAGGTGTTCATGAAAGCACCTATGTGGGGACCTGTTCTACAAAGTGGCAGTTCTTAGAAAAAAGTATCAATCAAGAAAGGTGATGGAAATAACTGAAATCTCAGACTGAATGAACTGGAGAAATTTTTTTATTTGACATCACTTGTTTATTTAAATGCTTCATTTAATTCAAAATTACTATACAGTAGAAACAAAAAAATGCCATTCTTGAGTGAAAATTCATTATAGAAGAGCAATATTTTCCATTTTATAAATATTATTTTGTAATTCTAAGGTTGCTGACCAAATTTTGAGAGGTACAAAATGTATCAATTTCATTATTACTTTTGTGCAAAAAATCATTTATATTTCATATATCTCTTGTTTTAGGATGAAGAATTGTTTAAAGATCCTGTTAATCCCTGTTGCCCTCGATGTAGGAAGAAGGAAAGTAAGTGGATCTTAAATGATATACTATAACTTATTTAAAAATGTAAAATTTTAAGAAAATTGAATTCAAATTAAAGAATAAGTTTGTTTAAATTTTGTTCACACTTTGAATAGATTTATCAACATATTTGATAAAATACATGATTAAGGAACAGTTAATTATGTTTCTATACTTAAAGATATTTATAAGATAGTTTGTATCAAAATATGAATTTTGCTTAAGACATCAATATTCTGCTTTCTGTGTGTATATTAAAGTGACATTTCATATATCAAAAATTTATTTATTTTTTCTATATTAGTTTGATAATTTTCTAAAGTAAACACTCTAGTTTTAGTGTTTTTTTTTTCATGTGATATGTTTTATGTTTCATAACTGTTTGAAAATAAATTTCAAGAAACCTAAAAAAAGCATTTACTAAATGTATTTCTTTGTAGTCTTTTCATTTTTTCATACATATTTAATAAAAAGTGTTTATTGCTGTTTAAGTGGTATTATAACATTAAGGATGTAAAAAATATTGCAAAAATATTGAGTGTAGAGTTGTTCTGTCATAACAATTAAAACAATGTAATTTGTTAAATGCATCATACAGCAGTTCATTATTTGTACTTTGCCCTAATCTTAGAATCATATCATACTTTCAGAATATATATAAATATAATTAAAATATTTATCCTGATAGCAACATTTAACAGTTATGTGTATTTTGAATTTTTTACTGAATACTTGAATAAGCCCTAATTTTCAATAAATGTAATTAACTAATATTTTATTCTAACTCAGATGGTACATGTACATTAAAATCCAAGATGGAGGTTATCATAGTTGGAAAATGCCAAAGCGAAAAGAAAGTTGAATATAGTTATTGTGAAGGGACCTGTGGAAACAGCTCTTCTATACCATTACTGTTTGATGCCTCTGAAACTGAACCAACTAAAATGAAGAGTGAATGTAAATGTTGCACAATGAAGTATGAAGAATATCATGTAATAACATTTATTTGTGAAAATAATAAAAAGAAATTGATGAAGTTAGCCAAAGCCTGTGAATGTGAATGCAAACCATGCGTAAGTATATTCTTTAATTTATCATAGAACATTTTTTCATACCGAAAATAAGATTAATAAAAAGAGGTAAATAAACAAATGTCATGTTTATTTATTTTTAAATTTAAATTAAAAAAAATAACTTAATATCTTTTTCTTTCAACAGATATATTGACATCTGAAAAAGTAAAAGAGCTTTAAAACAAAGTCAGATTTATTTAGAAAAAAAAAAACTTTTTAATAGCTCAATTTTTACTTTCAGTTCTATGAAAGGAAATACGATTATTTTTATATAAATAACAGATGAAATATAAAATTGGTGCTAAGAGATGTATATATTTAAGATCCTTACATCATTAAACATCATTAAGCACAACTGATGACAGCATTAACATTTATCATATTCCTCTATAACAAATAAGAATATTTCTTGAAGTTATGTAATAAAGTTAATAATCCTTTTTAAGTACATACAAATAAGTTTCAATGAACAAATTATGATTTATAAAATTTGAAGGAGATATAGAAAATTATGGCTATATTCCTGTTGTCAAGTTATATATTTACCAGAAACCAATTAAAAACCAAGTAATTAATACATACATACATACATATATATATAAACAGAAACAGACTATCATCACATTCTTGTCCATGTATTGCTTAATATATTGTACTGTAATTGTCATCTTTGATAATGGTTTATGTAAACCGAAAGCTTAGATTGGATTAAAAAATATGTATCAATATTGTGTTTTTCTTTCTTCGTTTAATGATAATGTTATTAAGCTTATCAGACGTTATGAAAAGAATTTAGATAAAATAGATAGACAACACTTGTCTATATTATTTAATGAAACATGTATATATATATATATATATATATATATATATATATATTACATACAAAGGTTGGCTGAAAAGTTCATAGGTTGATCAAGATACTCTCATGGAATGTAACCAAATGAGGTTTATTTTTCAACATAGTCCTCCTTGTGGTCCACACTTCTTCCATCAGTGTTGTAGTGCTTCTTGGATCCCATTGGTGAGGAAGCTTTCATCCTTTTGGTCAAAAGAATCATCAACAGCAGGTATGACATCATCATCAGTTTGATACTGATTCCCAGATACTGATGTGTTTTTTCATGTTGGAGAACAGATGATAGTCAGATGGGTCCAAATCAAGAAAGGTGATCAACTAGTTCAAAGCCACAGTCACGAACAGCAACCACTGACACAAAGGATTTGTTTGCTGGAATATTGTCCTAATGAAACAAGACCCCTTTTATCAGTTTTCCTGGGAGTTTGATCTTGATAGTCTTTTATAACTGCCTCAGGAAGTTGGCATAGCACTTTGATAGTGTGGCCCTTTTGAAGATAGTCAATAAACACAATGCCTTTTACATCCCAAAAAACTGAGACCATCACCTTCCCTGCAGATGAAATGATTTTGGTCTTCTTTGGAGCAAGTGATGATGGGTGTTTCCACAACAGGAATTGTCTCTGGCTCAAAGTGATGAACCCAACACTCATACTAGCACTCAGCAAGCAGAAATCTTCATCATACCAAGTTTATTATGCAGAATATTCTCAACTCTCTCATGGGATATGCTAATAGCATTGGTGTGGTGGACATGAGACAGAACCTGGGACGAGCACAACTGGTCGCGACTTGCCTTGTCCCCGCCAAAAAAGAGCCCGTATTTGCTTAGCATGTAAAGCTACTGCAGTTGAAATGAGGGAGAGAAAAAAGCACTTACCGCTCTGCCGTAATCCATCCTCGGCCAGATAATGGAAAAGAATGAGGGGGGGACTGGCATCGCATTTTTATGCAATAACGATGCAATGCATTATGGGACATGGACGCAATGAATTATGGGATCACAGGAAGACGCAAGGGATTATGGGTACATGAACAACTATAAAAACAACTACTTTTTTCCAAGTCGGAGAGTTCTTCGAGGGACATTCACGGTTGACGGCTAGAACGGGCAGTTAGTGTGATTTGGAGACAGAACTCAGGAAGGAACGACTCAAGTTTGAAATACCAGCTGGGAGAGCTTGAATTTACTCGCTGGTTACTGTTTTCTTCATTCGCCTCAAGCTATTTCGGCATATTGATTCTTCAAAATGGCGACGACAAGGAGCTGACGTATCGCTGTTGGATTTGAGAAATGCGTACCTACAGATTCACATTGACAAATCGCTATGGCCATTTCAAACAGTGGTCATTAAGGGCAAGCGGTTTTGCCTTACGCGTTTGGGTTTTGGCCTGAATGTGGCACCACTTGTCATGAAGTCAGTGATCGACATGATAACGTCCCAGGATCAGGACATTAAGAGTGCCACGTCGGCATACGTCGACAATATCTTCATAAATGAAGGCCTAGTTTCTGCAGCGCGCGTAAGACAGCACTTTGCAGATTACAGACTAGTCTGTAAAGATCCGGAGCGATTGAGAGACGGAACTAAGGTCCTGGGTCTGAGAGTCTGGGAAGAAAGCAACTCCCTTCGATGGAAGCGGGGAGATCAGGTTCCAGAAATTGCTCAAAAGGTGACCCGCCGAAGCGTATTTTCCTTGTGCGGGAAACTTGTGGGTCATTTCCGTGTGTGCGGTTGGCTTAGGGTGGCAACTGCATTTATTAAGCGTTATACATAGAGTTGGATTCAAGAACCAATCACTCCGATAGCGGTAGTTTGCCAATAGATCGAGACGTGTCTAATGAGAGCTCCTCTGATGAAGAAGTTCAAACAATCCCCCCTTCGGAGGAGCACCGGAACAAAAACCGTATCCTCACTGTCATCTGTGTGATCAGGAGATCAGGGGGGAGTGTGGCGGACATGAGACAGAACCTGGGACGAGCACAACTGGTCGCGACTTGCCTTGTCCCCGCCAAAAAGAGCCCGTATTTGCTTAGCATGTAAAGCTACTGCAGTTGAAATGAGGGAAAAAAAGCACTTACCGCTCTGCCGTAATCCATCCTCGGCCAGATAATGGAAAAGAATGAGGGGGGACTGGCATCACATTTTTATGCAATAACGATGCAATGCATTATGGGACATGGACGCAATGAATTATGGGATCACAGGAAGACGCAAGGGATTATGGGTACATGAACAACTATAAAAACAACTACTTTTTTCCAAGTCGGAGAGTTCTTCGAGGGACGTTCACGGTTGACGGCTAGAACGGGCAGTTAGTGTGATTTGGAGACAGAACTCAGGAAGGAACGACTCAAGTTTGAAATACCAGCTGAGAGAGCTTGAATTTACTCGCTGGTTACTGTTTTCTTCATTCGCCTCAATTGGATATTTGATTTATAGTCAATTGCCTGTCATCCATCACCATGTGGTGAACATGAACAATGTTTTCCTTGTTGAAAGATTCCCAGATCTTGGGTCATCTTCAAGCCTCTTCTTTCCCTTCCTAAATTCAGCTTCCCAATGTCATTGGGGGTTAAACCCTTTTTCTGTGGGTACTTGATAAAAATGCAATGCCAAATTTTGTCCATTTTCAAGAAATGTTAGTACTAATTACTTTTGAACTGTCAGATGTCAGTTTACCTGGAAAGAAACAATGCAGTTATTAATAAGATTTGAAGTTAATGCATGCAACATTTCACAGCTCTAGCATCACCCCTTCATAGTAATCTTATAAACTTTTCAGCCCACCTTTGTATTTTGGTTCAAAGTATGTGTAGTGAGTGAATGTGCGTACATACATGTGTGTGTATTTATTGTTCATATGTTTCCCAAAGGGAATGCATTCTCCCCAAGAGGTTACATGTTGATGAATAAGCGGATAAGATCAGAAGAGAATGAGAAAAATATTGCAGAATATTTATAGTCCAGAGAGCATCCCCTAGTAACAGTGTCAAAAATTAGGAAGGGTTAACCTGACAATATGCAGCTATTGGCATGAATGCTACATATTATAAGTAAAACTTATGTCAATGTACAATAAAAACATTTTAGTTGTGATAACCTTTGTGTACTCATTTAATTTTACATTATTTACTATCATGTTTGATTTACATTAGGTGATTCACTTCATTTTTCATCATCCTTGTTTTCATTTAGAATTTCATATAATTTTTGTAATTTTTCTTTCTTTTACAGGATAATTTAAAATAACCTCCTGACTAAGATATGAACTCAGAAACTCATCTTTTTAAATAGTTAAATCAGAAAATTGATGTTTGTTATAATTATTTATACTTCTATTTCTGAGGGTCACTATTTAATTACAAATAATAAATTATAATTAAAATTTTCCAATTTTCCAGTAACTTTTCACTGGTCATTATTTTCATAACAAATTATTTTAAATGACTAGTTTTCTGGGTAACACAACTATTTTTTTATTTATCATACAATGATAAAATAACTGAAGTATTATATATATATATATTGTAGATGAAAAAAAAATTTATTTATTTATTTAAATGAAATAAAATATTTGTGCATCAGAATTCAGATTTTCTTTTATTCTTTATTGACATTTTATATTTGCAGCTATTTTTCAAACTTTTAGTTTTGTCTTTGTTGTTTCACATTTTATCAAATCTATATTGTGATTTTCATCAGGTGTAAAGGATGAAAGAAAATGATTCACATAACCCACATCACATTCAAATACTACCAGATTTTATCAGCTGTTCTTGTCATTCATTTGCTTTAGATATGGCTTTGTCAACTAAACTGATATGTTTTCTTTATAAATTGTAAAACAGCTTCAGATTTTTAAACCCTTACAATAAAATCATGAAACTCCAAGCTAGATAAGAACTTAATTTTGTGAACTGGAATAGAAGAATTTCATTTGTATCTTGCTACATCTGTTATATCATCATAGTATACAAATGTGATAATGCTAGTTTTAAAAGTATTTAAAATTTAAGAAAAAAAATCTATAGTTTTTTTATTGATTTTCATAATAGCCAGAAGTTTGGTTCAAAGAATTAAATTTTAAATATTTTTAAAATATTTACATCCTTTAAATACAAATTTGTATTTTTTGTAAATTTTTGTAAGTAAACAAGAAAAGTTAATGAAAAACTTTAAAAAATGCCTTACTTGTGCTCTTTAAACAGAATTGTATTAGTGAGTGACTGTCTGATAAATACACATTGCACAGGCACACATATATATGCTACCTGATTATAAGGATATTACTTACCCTCACTCTTAGTTTCCAGTGTTTCATAAAGGATAATAGCAAAAATATATACTACATTTGCTTTATATATATATATGAATTATTTAAACTCCCCAAGCTTTTTAGGCGAACATCTGGTTGGAACAAAATAAATGTTTATTTTGAACTACAAACTGTTATAACTCAGCTGAAATGTAACTTTATTAGACAAAGTAAGCATTTTTAGACTCTGGCAGTGAATTTTTTTTATTATGATAAAAACTGATGTCACTTGACAGATTGCTGGTTCATATTGATGTACATCTGCTGGTGTGTATAACTAAAGCCGATAAAAAGTTTTAATTAATAAGGGAGAGGGTCAGTGAATAGGAATTATGTGGCAAAACATTGGTACCTAACTGCATCAGTTTTTACTGGGTAATTTGTGAAGTATGTAGCGGCACCCCCCGTGCAGCCCTGTATCACACAGGGGTGAACGAGGTCACAAGAGGCCCGCTAACATTTTTGAAGACGTTAAATCTGACGGTGAAACAATATGGACGACAGAACGAGGATATGTATGATATATGCAGATTTATTCTAGAAAAGAAAAAGAAATAAAAGTGGTTGGAACGGTGGCGGTGCAGAAGTTCTAGTGCAGGCATTGATGGTCGAGGTTGGTGTTGGTAGCTGCCAGGATGATCGCTGTTGGTTGTTGAAGTCGATGTCCGGTGCAGGCGTTGCATGTTTGCCGGTCGAGTCCGATATTAGTAACCTCCCGTATTAATTACTAACATAGTGTACGGGAAAGGTTAAGGACGATGTGCAGGCAGCCTGTAGGGATGGAATGCCGAGAGTTGAACAGGAGCCAAGAAGTAGTAGGCGAAGGAGAGAGAGAGAGAAAGAAAAGTTTCCAACTATCGTCAAGTTGGCAGACAAAAAACATGGGAGCGTAACTTAATACACAGCCCGTTGATCGATGTCCCTGACCAACGAAGGCCAAGGGGCCTGTGTATCCGACTGTTTCAGTTGCCGAGCACCTCCTGGGTTTAGTGAGAAGCAGCTGTTTTGTGGCAAGGGAGACCAGCAAGTGAAATTGGATAAGCTAACAGTAAAGTCTCTATAATAAAATACGAAGAGGTTAGCTAAAGGGAACTATGACCTAAAAATGACTAGCAGTATATTACAACTAGGTTTGTAATATAACTTAACTAAAAAGGGGATTTGCTAGTCTCTCCCACGGGTTAACAGTGTATAGGGAGAATGAATGACAGGTCAAGGTCGAAATGACCTGTTCCTCTGCCAGTTTAAGGATCGAAGGAGGAGGTGACTCCGACAAGTATGAAGTATTGCAGAAGGATAAGCCCCTTATTAAGCATTGCTGCTGACCAAAATGTTTGAAACCTTTGATGAATTGATTCCAAATCATGACAATAAGTCTCTGCTATGATGGTCTAGCCAGGTTGCAAAACACTGTAACAGAACCACAAATAGTCAAGAGGATTTGAGGGATAAAATTTTGGCTTTGTGAAGGTTGAAAAGAGAGCAAGTTTGTCAACCCAAAGGAAGCCACATTTCTGATCATCGTATAAAACATTTTTTATTAACATATTTCATCAATAGCAAGCACAATCAAGAAAAAGGCAATTTAAAAAAAAATACTGTGCAAGTTGCTTATCATCTGTTAAATCTTGGTATACAGAGTTCTGCATTTTCTTTGTCTATTTGTGCTAGATGTTTCCCAACTATTGTGTGGGCTACCCTCAACTTTGTTCCCAACACCCAAAAAGTGTTTGTTTCTGGATGAGTTTTTATAATTGTCCTCAATTCTTCATTGTTGAGTGATAATTTGCAACCACTGTTGATGTTGCAGGCCATTTCAGCAGTGTAATGGCCGAATTTGAACTCATGAAACATAATGACATGAAAACTGACATTTATTCATCTCTACTTCAATATCTTAGAGAAATAAAAGTAACCCAAAAATTCAAACAATGCCTAAAAAGAAGAAACCATAGTTTTTAAATGATATGTATATATATACATATGCACAAATAGTAAGGAGAGTGGTGAAAAAATGTTTGCACTCAAGCATGATAATTCATTTTATTTGAAGTTACTATAAAAAGTACCCAAAATGTAGAGATAGTTACATGTAGCTTCTCACTTTACATGAATAATGTTGGCTATGCAATGGGATATAGAGTCTATAAGGTATTGGAGAGAGTGCATGGATATATCTATCCAGTTATGTCCCAGAGCTATCCATTACTGAGATGTGTTTATTAGATGTGGCTGCAAAGTATTTAGTAAAGTTTGCAATATGTTCAATATGTGCTCAACTTAAATCTGGTGAGATTGAAAGTTATCTTATTGAAACAAACTATCTGGAAGCATTGATTTTTTTTTTTTAGTTTTTAAGCTCAAATATTTAATGATGCAATCGGGGATATATGAGATATCCATCTTGCATGAACTCACAAGGTGCTTGTTCAATCATTAACTTAAGAATTATGATTCATCAGAAAATTCAAATAGCAAAACCTTGAAGTTTTCATGGATACTAAAGTAAAAATAAATTTTTATAACTATTGAGAAACAAATAGGGAAACATTTAGCTTTAGAATGCAATCATCTATGAAACAAAAAGCCCCATGATGTCAAATATATCTTTCTGTAGCTGACAGGAAATTATTTATCTATGCTGAATTTTGTTTCACATCTGAGCAGTTATATAAGCAAAAGTAATATATTTACAAGGTTGGTCTTGGAAAGTTTCTGAACTATATGTACTGTGGCATGGTGGACAGCGCCTTGGATTGACAAATGGGAGAGCCATGTTCAAATTCCAGTCGAATCCATTACATTCATTTATGCACTAATAACCTTGGGAAAGATATGAATCCTCTTCTCCCCTCAGCTATGAGTAAATAGCAGGACAGACTGGGTTCTATAGCCTTGGATGGCAACTGGTCTACTGTAGAAAGAAATGGCATTCATGTATCGAAATCATTCATGGCACATAACTGACTGATGTACTGTGAGTGGTACAATGTGCATGCAGTTAAATGGTGAACATTTTTAAGTTAAAGACAAGTTTTTAAATGGTATGCATATTTCTAGGCTGGTTGAGTGCCAGTTCAAGATGATGAATATTCAGAGTAAGTAATCATTATTAAAATGTCAGAAAATGTAAAAAGAATTTGTGTGATTATCAATAAGGATCCTCATTGAATAATCTATCAGGTCTGTCACATGTTTTGAATCAGTTATGGCATCTGTGAGATTGTCTCAAGAAATCTGAACAGGTATCAAGTTGCTGTAAAGTTTGTTTTTCAGCAATTGTTTTTAAACGTTTCACCCCATGCAAGGCAGTAATGCCACTGGGACACAGGGTATTACAAAGAGGGAATGAGTATGGGAAGACTTTATTGTGAAGTGATGTAATGGTATGACCTGTCACGCCCATGAGTGACTACACTATAGTTAGCAACTACCTATAAGTATCTGTAAGTCAATGAACTACAGAGACTAGCTGGGATCTGTTGAGTACAACTCAGATTTACGTGAGAACTACCAACCTTCCAATAGTAGCACTCACTACTGGATTGACTTGCGATGACCTTGTGCATAACTGTTACCTTTATTCTTATTGTACTGGTTTGTTACAATAAACCTTTACTTATTTTATCTAACTTATTTTTCAAGTATATATTCCTATTAGCATGAAATATAACATGAAATAAGGAAAGGACAATAAAGGAACAGAATTCAGGAAAAGAGATAATGATGATGATTGACACTTCATTTAAATTTTTAAAGATTGTAGGTGTCAGGGAAGCAAGAAATCAGAAGGGTGCTCTACAAACAAGAAATGTGAGAAAAGAAACTATTAGAATAGAAGAGATGATTGCAAAATGATTAGACATGGTTGCCAGTCTAGTAGCACATGTAACTTCATGCAATTGATGCACTAAGGAAAAAAGCTCATCAGAAG